TGTGGGTGCTGCATGCCTGCAACCCAGTGGTGGCGGTTGGGGGAGTTACATGGATCCCGGAGGCTTGCTGGTTAGCTAGTTTAGCAGAAATTATGATTCCCCATTTGAGATCTTGTCTTAAAAAATAATAAAATGGAGAGCCATAGAAAGAGAGGCTCAAAATTGACCTCTAGCCTACATACATACACACAGAACCACTCATACATGTGTACCCATAATACATATCACACACACACACACACACACACACACACACACACACACACACACACACTTTATGCCTGGCATGATCCTAGGTTTGGAAATTCAGAAAAATTCCTTGTGTTTACATTCTAATTCTAGGGATAATAACTAAGTATGTTTGATAGCAAGTGATAAAGAAAGAAATCGGAAAGAATGAGGGGACCAGGGAGGGTTGATGACTATTCTTGGTTGTCAACTTGACTACATTTGAAATTAACTAAAACCCAGGCAGCTGGGTACACCTGTGAGGGTTTTTTTTTTTTTCTTAATTAAATAATTTGAAGTGAGAAGACCCACTTTTAATCTGGATCTTTTGAGGTGGAAAGATCCACCTTTGATCTGGGTCACACCTTCTGGTGGCAGCCTATAGAAAGGACCCAGAAGAAGGAAGCTTTTGTTCTTTGCCTGCTCGTTCTCTCTCACTGGCAAGTCCATTCTTCCGCTAGATTTAGAGCCTACTTCTTTGGGATTCTGGCATATACTGAAGACCATATACATCCGTCCTTGTGGCTTGAACAACTACTGGATCTTGAACTTGCTGTTGGTTGAACAGTCATTGTTGGACTAGATGGACCACAGACTCTAAGCCACATTCACTGTATCAGTTCTGTCCCTCTAGAGAACCCTGACCAATCCAGGGGAGCTGCCATATCATGCAGAGGCATGAATGGAGTAAGGGAAGTTATCTGGGGACATATTCCACCACCCCAATATTTTGGAAATACATGAACAAATATACTTCTAACTTAAGATATATGTAGATTATGAAAGAGCCAGGTGACCTCTCAGAATCAGAACTGTGTAGACTGGATAAGATTCAGCATGCGTTTAGAGGGGGATATGGAAAAGGTCAATGAGAGAATTTCAAGCTCAAAAGAAAACAGGGCAAGAAATGAGAATGACAAAAACAGTCCATAAAAGGAAGGTCACCTGGACTGGCAGAGGAAGGAGGGTCACCTGGACTGGCAGAGGAAGGAGGGTCACCTGGACTGGCAGAGGAAGGAGGGTCACCTGGACTGGCAGAGGAAGGAGGGTCACCTGGACGGGCAGAGGAAGGACAATGACAATGGGGAGGGAGGGGTACATACACATGGGTTAGGAAAGCCCTGGGCGAGGGACTTAAAGCCAAATGGACTCCAGGCACGAGACATGAAATAAGGAGACCAGAGAATTAGACAAGGCACTGTCTTCACCACAGAGGTCTGCAGGAATGTAAATGAAGTCTGTATTCTCCAGATGGAGGAATGCCACGCTGGGCTCATTCGTTGCTGCACTCGCTTACATCATACCCAGCTGCTCTACTTTTCTTTCTCTTTCGGTGATAAATGCCATGACCAAAAGCAACGTTGGGAGGAAACGGTTTAGTTCAGCTTACAGTCTATCATTGAGAGAAGCCAGGCCAGGAGCTCAAGGCAGGAATCTGGAGGCTGGAGCCGAGGCAGAGGTGGAAGAACACTGCTCACTAGCTTGCTTTCTGGCTTGTTCAGCTTCTTTTCTTAAACAGTCCAGGCTCACCTGCCCAGGACTGGCACCGCCCACATTGGCCGAGCCATCCTACATCAATTAGCCAAGAGAAAATGCCCCACAGACATGCCCACAGGTCTGATGGAAGCAATGCCCCAGGTGAGGTTCCCCCTTCCCATGTGTCAAGTTAACAACTGAAGCCAACTGTGATACCGTGACACACTCAGGCCAAGGAACTCTGGGAGCAAACCCGCACAGACATATAACTTGACTGTAAAACAGAAGGGGACATAAAAGCCCCACACCTGAACTGCCTTCAGTCTTACCAAGGCTTTCACTATGAAAAAATAAATAAATAAATACATTAATAAATAAATAAATAAAAAATCTGACCTCTTGCCTTAGACCGTTTGTGCTGCTCTAAGAAAATATCCTAGACATGGTGACTTATTAAAATCTAGAAATTGAGTTCTCACAGTTCTGAGGGCTGGAGAGCGTAAGATCAAGGTGCTGGCTAGAGCTGTTCCATTTCCAAGATGCTCACTTGAACACTAAATTACTCTAGAGAGGAGGGACCTCGATGTCTTCACGTGGCAGAGGCAGAGGGCAAACACCCAACTCCCTCCCTCACGTTCTTTTATCGTGACACTATCCATTCATGAAGACTGAGCCCTTGTGACCCAAGTGCCTCCCCAAAGGCCTGGCTTCCCAACACTGCTGCTTGGGGGATGAAGATTCCAACTATGAACTCTGAATGACGCACTCAGACCATTGAAAAATAGCATTGTATAGGCCATGGTGAAGGCGCCCCATAACACAACACACAGCGAAGCTTCCTTCAGAGGCCCTTGCCCCACATCCCTTTGCTTACTAAGGATGTTAGACCCAGATCTCCCTTCTGCCCCCATCACTCTCTGTCCCCAGTTGCCTTTTTCTCTCCAACCAAGTCAAGCCTTCGACTTCCAGCCCAGTTCTCACCCTCTCTCTCTTCAGGAGACTCTGAACCCTTGCCATGAGGTTGACCTCCCGTTTACATCCCTATTGCAGACAAACCAGAGAACCTTCCTCCAACCCACACACTCTGAAAGGTAGAGAAAGATAAGGAGTTCTAGAAACGTCTTACTGGACTGATCTCTCTTGTTACTAACCAAAGTGCAAAAGTGGACACTGGAAGAAATCAGCAAAGAAACCACCTACCAAAACAACACGTATCTGTTTTCCAGAGGGAAGAGGTGGTGGGGAGGGGCAGCCAAAGAACAGAAAAAAACATGATGGAGCTACCGCTGTTTGTGCACATCTGTCTCACATCGGTTTTTACCATTGGATTACAGAGACCATGGCACACACTGTCAAAGTCAGAACCTTTTGTAGTACCTTAGCAGACATAAATGCATTGATGAATTCGTGAACATGGAAAATGAATGCTTTGAGGCTTCCGG